TGACACAATCTGTATTGTTAAAAGCGCTATATAAATAAAGGTGACTTGACTTGACTTGACACTCTGTTTCAAGGGACAAGGGGAAGGGGTAGGCGGATGGATAGGGGAAGGGGAAGGGGAAGGGGTATAAAATAGAATTGGGATTGGGCCTTTCTTCCTGAAACACCAACCTGCCAAATTTTTGGCACTCATTTTAGGGGGGTTATTCATCGGGCAGCTGTCATTTGCTCTGTTGCTTTTTGGGGGTACTCTGGGTTCAGACCAAAATTCTGAGCTTGGAGACCTCCCCTCGGACAGCACTCCAAATACACATACCCTTTACTCTGTTTATTATATGTAAGTGTGAACTCGTGAATTGTGTATAAACGATGATAGCCGTGTTGCAGCTGTGCTTAACTTTTGCTTTCTTGGGTTTGGGTTTTGCATGACAAGTTCATCACAGTGAGAATTGTGTTTTAGTGAGTGAGAATGTGTTTAGAGTTTTGCTAAAAGAGTGCATGAGATCTGCACACAGTGTCTAAACTCCCTGAACTTGTTCTAACTCGTCTGACATTAAATATGATCCTGCGCTTGTGTAATTACTCATCAGAACATCATCTAAATGAGAGCAGATCCTCAGACAAACTAGAGCTGCTTATAGCGGAAATTCGTTTAACAATTGATGAACTTTAGTTATTGAACTGACCTGAATCAACACTGAACTGAGTGGAGCTGAATAATGACACTGCTGTCGTTTTTTTTAAGAGAATCTGAATTGTCTCATTTGACGAAGTTTGCATTATTGAGTCTGTTACTTCCCTGTTTATTAAACAATCTGGATTTGATAGAAATAAATGAGCTCAGACAAACCCACAGGCTGAAAGAACGATGCACGTCGTGAACGTAATTGGCACATTTCTTTATTTTGAAAACAGACATGAAACCATTTTCCACGATTTTACTCCTTAGATTCAAACTCACTTGAACAGAAAGGCTGGCGCGTTTTCTTTTTGTTGGATTTTCTCAATTTTTAACATCAGTGCAGCAATATCTCCAATTAAACGCTTATAACAACACCAAGGACACTAAAAGAAGCCACATGTATTAGTTGGGTGCGTGTGAGAAGGTTCTCGTCTCTGGAGGAAGGATTCTCATGCGATGAGCTCCAGACGGATGGATGAAGAGATCGATCCTCACTGGAAAACTCCCTCCACATCTCAGAAAATCATTGCCACACCAGAGAAGAGAGGACAAACATAAAAACAGACCGTCTTCATCATCAAGAGCAGTCTGTCGGTTACTTAGGATTTTACATTTCACTGGTCATCTGTTAAACGTTCTCGTCTGAAACGGCCTCCTCTGCTGGTTTGGAGTCTTCGATGGCCTCTGCAAACACCACAAGAAACAGCTTCAGTTCCCCACACTCTTACAGACCGCTGATGGACCGCGAGTGGACCAGATAATGTGCATTACTGAAACACTTGCTCTCATGAATGCATCTCAATGAAGAGCTTTCAGGCAAACCGCAGCACTCCACCGGAAATGGATTCATGACTCTCACTTTCAGATAAATGGACAGCCGCTTGGATTTTCTGTCAAACTTCTTTCAGTTTTTATATACGTTTATTGTACCGTTGCTGCTAACTCAATTACACCCTCATAACACATTTAAGTCTGTTTTGACTAGGGCTGTGCAAAACATTGAATGCTACACAAAATCATTGCCGATTTTGAACGCGATTTTTGTAGCTTGTCAGTGAACTACGGCTCTGTGTAGTAAATGCCGCTCCATCTGAAAGCACGTGCTGGAGATTTACTACTAATCACCAGAAGCGGCTTTACTGACGAGATGCGCATGAAAATCGCATTCAATTTTTTGCACAGCCCTAGTTTTGACCCAGAAGAGATACGTACATTTTATTCCCTTAAAATTTTTTGGAAATTTTGATGCATCTCTTCCAGGTCCAAAATGACCCGAACACAAAACGTTTGACATTTTGTTTAAAATTAGTTCCTTTACTATGAAAGAAAATATTAGAAACTTTTTTTTGGAAAATGTTTAACAGTGTTAAACGTTTTGTGTTCGGGTCATTTTGACCCGGGGATGTATAGAGAACCATTGGGTGTCAAAAATACTTTTTGTAAAATTATCTATTAAGATATATTAGTGCCAAAAAACTATTATAAACTATATAATTGGCATTTTCCCCATATCTCACACACTTTTGGAAAATGTTGTTGATGAACATGAATATGTACGTCTATTGATGAACCATTGCAACATGGTTGATCACTTTTTTATCTGAAAGTGAAAGTTTATACAGAGAGTAAAATTAGTTTATTTTGACTGAAAACCTTTCAGAATAATATTAGCTGTTCTGATGTTGTTCTGTTAGAAACAAATATGTAGGTTTCATAAATTTGCACAGTTTTTAGAAACCATGAGTTATAAATTCAAAGAAATTTCGCTAAATTCCATTAATTCCAATAGGGTTAATACTGGTAATACTGGGGGTTAATACTTCTCAGATTATATGTTGTTATAAATTTCATACAATGATAAATCAAATAAATGTCTCATCAGTATGATGGTGTGGTTCATATGTAATTGAAATTGCTAAGAATTTCAAAGGTTCTTTCATACTCTAAAAGCTTGGTTTTTAATTTATTAAAATTTTGTTCCAACCAAGAAAAAAATGGTTCTTTTAAGAACTGTTGAAAGGTTCTTTACGGGCACTGATGGTTCCATGAAGAACCTTTAAGGTTCTTTATAGTGGAAAAAGGTTCTTTAGATTTTTAAATGGTCTTCACACTAAGAAAAGTGTTGACTGAAAGGTTGAAGGCCGTACACTCCACAAGATAAACTCTCCACACTCACACTGACTATCTCAGAGCTCAAACTGAGTGTCTGTGTTTTTCTGACGCACCTTTTTTGTCAATTTGGTCTGTCTCCTGGCTCTCGGCGGCGTCAGGCACATCGGCTTGTTTGGCTTCCTCCTTCTTCTCCTCCTCCTGTGCGTTTACATCGTGGGCGGGGTTCTTGGCCGCCGTGTTCTCCGCCTCTTTTGGATTCTCCGCCTCCTGCAGCTGCTCCTGCGCCTCCTCTTTAGTGGGCGTGTCCGAGGGGGTGGAGTCAGTGGCAGCGGTGGGCGGGGCTTCTGCGGCTGGCGAGTTGGGCTGCTCAGCCGGTTTGCTCTCTTCTGCTGTTTCTGTGGAAACCTCGGCAGGTTTCTCCTCCGACGGAGAGACTCGCTCCTTCTTCTCCTCCTCGGCCTCGGCGGACTCGTCCTCCTCGGCGTCGTTCTCCTCGTCTTTCTCTCCGTCCTTCATCTTTTTCCGGGTGATGTGTCCGCGGAAGCTGGCCTGGATCTTGGTGGCGGCCTTGTGGGCGTTCTCCTCCGGTTTGGTTCCATCCTGCTTGATCTCCTGATCGGCCTCTTCTTTCTTCTCAACCTAAGACCAGAAACACAAGAGCATCAGTAACTCCTCAAACACTAACGTATATCAAGCGTCTGTGACTTTGAACCAGATGTCTTATTAATTATACAGATAATTCAACTAACAAGATTCTCTTCAAACTGATAATCCACCATGATACTAGTAAAACGGATAGTTCACCCAAAAATGAAAACTCTGTCAACATTTACTCACCCTCAAGTTATTCCAAACCTGTATGAGTTTATTTCTTCTGTTGAGCACAAAAGAAGATATTTTGAAGAATGTGGGGAACCAAACAATTTCTGGTCCCCATTGACTTCCATAGATAATTTTTCTCCATACTATGGAACTCAATGGAGACCAGCAACTCACCAAACCAGGGTGAGTAAATCATAACAGGATTTTCATTTTTGGGCGAGTTATCCCTTTAAGCTGAAATAGAGATAACTATGGAAGCTTGTTGTAATTGCAACTTTCTAATCTCAAAGTTCTGAGTTTGTTCTTGCAATTCTGAGAATAGAAGTCAGAACTGCTCATATAAACTCAGAATTGCAAGATATAAAGTCAAAAACATAGTCCACCTTGTAAGATAAAAAGTTGAAACAGGCTTCCATAGAAAACTGACCGTTCGAACTAAGCTTGTGTAGAAAGAACTGAACACATGGATCCAGAGCAACTGATCAAGCATTTTGCAGATGATTTATCTCTCTCTAAACAACTTACAATAGAGTAGCAATTCATCAGAGCCAACAATATTCCCAGCATACAGAGCCACGTTTATCAGAAAGCTCGATTAGTATGAGTGAAATGCAGAGAAGAGAGAGGAGAGGTGATATTTACGCTTTGTTTGCGAGAGCATTGGTTCTAATGCTACAAACCCCCAGCGAGCAACCGAAGGAAAGTAACTTCCCATCAGGCATCTGGACGTACGATTACCATGCTTTAATTGAATGAGCATTAGAGCTTTCAGACTGAGAGTGATTTAATGAATCTGGATCTAGAGCTCAGAAGGATGTTCATCTGCAGCAATCCCACGATTACAAGCGTCTCATCTTCAATAACCAGAGCACAAGTGGGAAACTCTCCGTCTCTGTCTTTAATTAGTCTCTAAAAACCTGATTCTGAGGAGGTGAATATTAATTTTTGATATGGCTGTAATTATAATCACAGATGGATCTCGACACATCTTTGATGGACAGACACGCACTGAATCATGCACAAACTCCATGTTTTCTGCTGAGATGCATCCAGATGTGATTAAAGCCATCAGCGCTGGAGCTCAGGCTGAGTTCACTTCTCTCAGGATCACACACACGTCTGACGTCTCTTCTGCTCTGGACCAGCATCAAATATAATTAAACTTGTTCATATCAGGGATAAATATCAGCATAACATGGCAAAGCTAAAAGCAAAGCACCTGTCAGGATAAGAAAGCGTGACGTCTGACCGGAGAATCAGGGAGAAAGACTCAATATTTACCTTGTCCATCAGCGTCCAGGGAGGCTTTTGTCCACCGAGGGCCTTTTAATTTAATACTGAAATGCGTCTAATGAAAAAAAGCAAGCATAAAATGAAAAAAAAATGTGTCAAAGTGACATATCATGCATGACAAACACATTCATATATCCAACTTAAAAGTACCTTGAAGCAGATGAAAATTAAATCATAAATGCAAAATTAAAATCTAGTGAACGGAAGCCAAAGTAATGACATAATGCAAGATGAAGGCAATTTCATTCGGAAACACTTTTTCATTTATACATGCAATCTGCAAATGGACTGCAGAAAACGATGAGGATTTATTCTGCTGTGGTCCGGTCGTTTGAGCAGCGGTTTATACATCATCTGATCTGATATTTAACCTCATAACCTGTGGATGCAACTGTACTACAATCAATATCTGTCAATAAATGCATCTCCAGCTGTCAGACCCACTGATATTTCACCCGTCCAGATGATGAGGCATCATTCGTCTTCATCTGCGTGTGTTTTCAGGGTTTATCATGTGTGATTTACTGAACAAGCGTCCAGTGCAGTACAGTCACGCATCTGACGCCGCTGCAGGAAGAGCTTGAGCAGATTCACTCTGCACCTGATGATGACGCTGTGACGGACAACAGGTGTCACACACACTCACTCACACTCACACTCACTAACACTCACACACACGCTCACACACACTCGCACTCTCACACACGCACACTCACTCACACACACTCTCTCACACACACACACACACACACACACACACACACACACTCACTCACTAACACTCACACACACACACTCACTCATTAACACTCACACTCTCTCACACACACATACACACACACACTCACTCACTCACTCACTCACTCACTAACACACAAACACACACACACTAACACTCACACTCACACTCTCTCACACACACACACACACACTCACTCACTAACACTCACACACTCACTAACACTCACTAACACTCACACACACACACTCACTCACTAACACTCACACACACACACTCACTCACTAACACTCACACACACACACTCACTCACTAACACTCACACACACACACTCACTCACTAACACTCACACACACACACTCACTCACTAACACTCACACACACACACACACTCACACACTCACACACACACACA